ATAACTGCAACCATATTTTTATTTTACACGTATGGGTGAGAGATTGGAAAATGAACTTAGGGCTTCACTGCTAATTTAAACTTTTTTTTAAATTATTATTATTTATTTATTTTTTTTGCAAGTATCAAGTCAAACCTATTAGCAAACTGGGCCTCTTCTTAATGAAGAAGAAGCTTTACAGCACATCTATGTTGGGATTGTCAGAGAAAAGGTTTATGTATACCTTATTTTAAGTTTTGAAAACCTTACTATGTCAGTAAAGATTTAACCTTTTTTATAACAGGATATTATCTGTTTAATAGTAATTTTAACATAGAGAACAGCAAAATAATTATAATAATAAATTATAAATGAATTCAACAAATCAGCTGAGTTGACTTTAGTTCACTTTAAAAGCTGATTGTAATTTAATAGCTCTACTGGCACCTTTAGCCACTTGCATCACAAAGGCTCATGTCAGGACTCAGCCACTCCAGTCATCCTGGCATTGTCAAGCAGCAATGTCTACAATCCAGGCTCTTTTTATGAGTCATTTCATAATGACGGATGAGTTACTGGATGCCAGAGTTCCATGCATATTTTGAGAAACAACCAAACCCCCCAGAACACATCTCCAAGTACCTATCCTATACTTCCATACCCTTCTGCACTTCCATCTGTGGCTTCCCTCTATTTTCACAGTGTCATCTGTTTATCTGACACAATATAAATAATAATCATCCTTCTAGGTTGCTTATTGCTCTTTTTTAATTTAAGTGCATCCTTTCTATTCTCAGTTATTAGTCATTTTGGATCAAAGTGTCTGCAGAATAGACATTTAAATATATTTTAACTTGATTTGGAAAGATTGCTAAAAAATCAAAACAATTAAGTCTGTAAATATCTTCAACAATATTATGAAATTCTACTAAATTGTAAAACTTTTTTGTTTGTTTAGTATGATGCCATACTGCTTCTGCTGCTGCATTTACACTTCTCCTTCCATTACTTCTAATGTTATTAGTAATAAAGACAATCAAAGTGATATAAATGGGTACATTTCCCCATTCTCTATACAGTGGATCTCTTTTATAGAATTATCATTATTTGCAGAGAAAACAGGAAGAAATAAAATACCATTAAGTTGACTGAATTACAATTCAGCTGAATTGGTGAATTTCAAACAACCTCTATATAATTTTGCTCACTATCAAAAAAATTCTCAGTCTCAGTGCTGTTGGCAAACAAGTTAAAGTCTCACATATAAAAAAAATGCCCTCGATCGATTCTAAGCCTTTATTAAGTGGAGATATTTAATCATAATAAACCATCTGGCAGCATGTTGTCTTTTCTATGATTGACAACACACACAAAAATAAGAAAACATTTTGACTGAACACATTTAGATAATTTACAATCAAAACCTTTAGGATTTGTTACCAGAGATGCATTGTTAGAATTCAACCATTACTGAAGAATACAACATTTCATAACCTATACCTCCCAAATTCAATTTAACCGTACAGATGATACTTTTTCTTTATTGTTTTTACATCCCTTGGATTTTGGCCTTTCTTGCACCTCTTATAGCTTTAAGGTAACAATGCAAATTAATAAAATTAATAAGAGTGACAGCTATAAACCTCTGCAAAACACAAAATTACACAGTTTTAATGTATTATTAACTGCATAAATACAAATTAAGAAATGGGAACAATAGCCAATTAAAATTTGTGAGTGTGGAAATGTTTTTCTACAAGTGTTAAAATAAATTAACACAGATTCCTTGAATAAACTAAAAAAAAAGAACTATTTATTAATTTTATAATAAAAAAAAGGTGTTTAAACTTTTATAATGACCGTGTAGAACTAATATATACAGTTCCCATATCAGAAAATAAAAATAAATACACAAAGGCTATGAATGGCTCTGTCATAGCTTTTAATTTACAACCTTACTTAAAAAAAGAGAAAAAAGAGAACTGAAAAAAGGAACAACAGATCACTGTTTTTGTACAGTTTTCAGGTATTCTCTTCAGAATCACAGGATTGTCCTCACTATAACCAAACAAAACAGACTTGTTTCGCTTTATAAAAGGAGGTTTAGGTGAAACAAAAGGCGGAAAAGCCAACATTATTGCACGATTTAAAGAGCTGAAAATATTTGCACAGTTCTTTGCACAAAACACTGACGTAATTTTTTTTTGAATATACAGATTATCCTGTTTTAAACAAGCTTATGCTCAAACCTCACCACTAAAAAAACAAACATTTAAAATAGAAGCATTATTTTTGAGATCCAGAGGAAATAATGTTTTTGGTCTAATAATAATAATAATATACAAACTTCCATTTTTCTCATTGAGAAGCAGCTCCTTGGTTAAACGGGCCTGAGCAGCGGGCTGGGATGGTGGGAATAGTACATGTGATGGGGGAAAGCCAGCAGGGACTGGCTGCCGGATGAGTTCGTACCGGGGCTCGCGCTCGCGTCCGAGGCCCCGCTTTCATGGTAAAGTATCGGCACCCGTACGATCCTCTGCGCCGCGGCGTGGCTCATGTTGGCCGCTTCCAGCTCGGCGGCCAGCTGCCTCTTCCACTTGTTCCTCCGGTTCTGGAACCAGATCTTCACCTGCGTCTCGGTGAGGTGCAGAGACGCGGCCAGGCCGGCCCGCTCCGAGCTGCTCAGGTAGCGTTTGATGTCGAAGGTGGACTCCAGCTGGAAGACCTGGCTCCTGGAGAACACGGTGCGCGTCTTTTTCTTCCTGCAGGGCTTCTTGTCTGAGTCCAGCTCGTCTGTTTTTCTCCTCCAGTCCTCCTCCTGGTCGGTTTCCTTCTTGGATTCATCGGCGTCGCTCTCATCCAGAGCCAGGTCATCATCGGCGCTCTCCTCTTTATCTTGGTTATTTTTTTGGAGATCCGGGCTGCGAATATCCTCCTCCCTCTGGTTGGTCTTTTCTGGAACTAAAATAGAAAAAAAAGTATTAATTAATTAATCATATTAATATATATTTTCCTGATAGTCTAATAATTCACAAATTTATTAATTATAGAATAGAAAATACATTTATTGTCCGACAATGGGGAAATTTATTATCAATAATCCAAAACAATAGTCAATTATTTATGCTTTTTTAATTTTTTAAGAATATAGAAAAAAAACAACTTAATATATTTAAAGCAAATACAGGAATTTACCTGAAGCAGTCCTAAAATGCGCTCCCAGAGTGTATGGATACCACCACGCAGACGCTCTCTCCAAATACTGAGCCGACAGTCCGATCCTTTGGCCGGGCAACTCTAACCGAGGCAGAGACAGCTCACTGAGTCTGGAGAAAAAGCTGCCTTCAAAAACTCCTTTGGAAGACCCCAGTGGGAGGGTGGGCTTCACTGGCTTGTCCTCGATGTTGAGCAGGTTCTTTATGGAGAAAGGTGAATCCTTTGCGGCTTGGCGAGTCTCCTGAGTGTCAGATTCTGCCATCACCGCTTATTGTCCAATCTGAATAACCATTAAAAACTTTTAGAGGCAGAAAATCAATTTTGAAGAGAAAAAAAGTATGCAGATGTGGTGAAAATACAAAGAAAAAAAAGATGTTGAGTCCAGGCCTCTCCAGAGGATGATCTGGACTGGAAAAAGCCAGGGATCCCTGCACCAAACTCTGGTTGTATTGTAATGACGCGCAGTGGAAATGCCATCTGACTTAAAGCGCGCTGGCGCTCTCTGCTATTGGGCAGGTACAATAGCAAATAGGATTTAAGATGGAAACGCGATGGGGGGGCTGTGACGGGAACCGAATTCGAACGGAAGGAGAAGAAGGCCGCGCAAACGTTTTGGCTCCGGGCTCAATAGTTACGCACTCACTTATCATCCAATTAGATTAAAGAGGAAAATCTCTCTGGGCTTTGGGGCGCGCAAAGGGGAGCCGTGAGCGCCTATCACCAATCACCTGCCAGTAAATTGAATAAATGTGGTAGAGAAGAATATAAACACACATATAGTCAAACGCATATATAAAAAATATCTGCATGCGCACTGCACACAAAAAAAAAAGAAAAAAAAAGGAATCTAAATAAGTATTTTTTTCTTAAAATAAGCGCATTGTGTCTTGAGTTGAGGAAATAAGTGAAAGTTTATATTTAAATTAAGAAAAAGCAACTGCATTGTCTAATTACAAGCGCATATTATCTAATTATCTTATTCTAAAAACTAAAAATACTCATTTAATTGTTATTTACCTACTAAAATTGTGTGTAAATACACTTGATTTAAGACATTTTTACTCATTTCTAGATTTTTTTTTTAGCAGTTTAGAAGAACATCAAACCTTATATAAAGCTCTGTATGCCACTGATGGAGCATTGATTTATGGCAAATTAACCTGAACAGTTTAGGTTGATTTAACAGTTTAAGTATTAGCATCAGTTCTTCACTATTGAAGCAGTGTTTTTTGGCTCCCTTAGAGTTTTATTCCCACAGAAACGAGTACATTTTCTACAATTTTGGTCTATATATATTTACATTACATTTCTAAATATATTCCAAACTAATCTGAGACAAGAATATAAAATCATATGATTTGAAATAAAGCGAATCACATCTATTTAAAGTGACCACACAGGATGATGTTCCTCAGGTTAGCCTATTTGCATTCTTTACATAGGTTTGAAAAACAGAAAAACAACTTCTTATTTTTTTTTTAATTGTTAGCAATGTCTATCATTTGCCGTTTTTTTCTAAATCAAACCATTTTACTGTTAGTGTTAAACCTCTGTGCTTGTTTAAGTATAATGTTCCTGTAAAACAACAAACACAAGGAGAGTAACGAAGTCAATTTTCCCATTGAGTTACTGCTATTCTTACAAAAAAAGAATTACACAAATTCCAGACTGCTCTTTTTAAGAATTTACTGAGATTTCTGTAAAAAATGTTTTAATAACCGGAGTTAAACTCGATCAACGTAAAGCATCGTGGGAGAAGATGTAACACATTAAATTTTTCCATCAATTAGGGAAGGTTGTCCAGACAGTGAGGAGGATTAAAACTCAACTTTCCAGGATGAAAAAAAAGATTTACTTATATTATCTTTATCTAGTATTACCAATTAGCCAAGGATAAAATTTATTGTGAATACAAAATACCAAAAGCAGAACAAAAAAACTTTTAAGGGGGAAAATATTTTTTTATCTTATAATATGTTGAAGCTTGCCTGTCCTCAGTGTTTACAATGCAAAACGATTACTTATCCGCTTGCATTGTAGAAGAAAACACATATAAAGTGGAATTTCTTATTGCTTTTCTGTGAAATCTAACAGTGGAACATTTCATTACCCATCTGTGGTTTTACTGTCAGTGTGTAATATTAACTGCAAAGATAAACCACTGGATAGTGTCCTTAAAAGCACAAAACCCCCAAACCATTAAATAATTACAGATTTTATTTGTTTAAGTGGGATCTGCTCTGATGCAGCCGGCGGTCGTTCCACCTTCAGCAGAGAAATATGTGATGTCTACCTGGACCAGAGCTTATTGACCTCATTGTAATTTTGTTAGGCAGGAAATGCTGCAGGCAGCTTAAACACTGAATTCCTTCCATCCTGATAAGGCCTTTGTACTAAAAACCCAAACAGGTGACCTAATGCAGATCGAAAGGTTCCTGTCGAATAAGCACGTGAATGGAGCAGATTGCATTTTATAATGAGACTTTAAGGCTGGATTCCATTTCCTAGGGTTATCATTCCCTGATAGCAATCCTCCTATCACTGAATCCAGAAGTTAAAATGTTTTGCCTGTAAACATATTTTACCTAAGATGCACAATTGGGCATTTAATTCCTGTAGGATTCATTATTTGTATTCATTTTTTGGTGCATATCTAAATATAATGCTAAAAGTAACCAAATTAAAAAGTATTTGAATGTTTCTTTTAAATATATTTGCATTATTTCAATATTTGAATTTTATTAGGGTTTTTCTAAAAACAGAAATATGTGACCTCTTAATGAATGTCATGTAACACTGAGCCAGTGCATTTAATTCTTGGTCTGGGCTTAGATGATATGCTGTGGCAATGAGGTGTTGCATCAAGCTAATAAGATGTTAAGGAAGCCCAGGTAGCTTTAAAGCAGCACTGGATTCAGTCCTGCTCAACTCTGTCAACAGACTCCATAGTTTTCAAACAAAATGTCAAATGGATTTTAATCAGAAAAGAGGCATTTGGAAACGACGAGTCAGGAGACGATAAATATCAGGAATTCCTGTAAGCTATGCATTTTTAAATCTCCCCTAAAACTCTCGAATTGGCTCACTTGTGCAATAACCTGTGTGCAATAATCCTGCTAAATAAGAGAATCCACCTGTTAAATATATATATGAAAGCAACTTTTCCTCCTTTTGGCACCTTCTTTTGTGTGTTGAATTTCTCCACTGTGAGATCAATAAACAAGATCTTATCTTCTTTTCCAATCTTGTTATTGCTGCACTATCCCATATTTTTTTCCTTCCACTTAACTTTCCATAATAACCTTGTAATTAGATACAGCCCACTGTAAAAAAGCTACTTTCTTCATGTCTAGATTTAGAAATTAGAAATTACTATTTTTGGTTTGCTTGTAATATAATCTAAAGGAAACATATTTGTATACATTAAACAATAAATTCTACAAGTGGTTTAAATGGTAAAAAAAAAAATATGTTGAGGAATATTTTAACATTAGCTATTTCTATGTTGATTTTTTGAAATATTTTAGCACAGGGATAAAAAAGAAAACTTCTGTGAGTGTACATATTACCAAATCTCAGTTATGAAGGGTTGCAGAGCCATCTACATGTGCCTTCCCCCTACAGTAGTAGTTAGTATTTCCTAGTCCTTGAGCAACCAAGATTTAAGGGTTTATAATGAGTAGAAAAAATAAATAAATGGGACATAAGATGGTAGGATTAGATTCAATGCTTTCTTGTGGTAGGATGTTTCTATTTTCTTTTGCACAGCAGACTTTACACCTCTCTGGTTTAGTCAAAGATGTATCTATATTCCTACTGAAGAAACATTTTGTAAAACATATATAAAAGAGACAATCTGTACTTTGAATTAATCATCTAAACCAAACTAGCAGCAGACACAGAGAATTAATCAACCAAATTGAATTTGCTCAACCTGCATGCACATGGCCTGTCCTTTTAACTCGTTGAGCGCTCTTCAACGCGAAAGGACAACACAGTGTTTTGTGAAAAGCTACTCGAATCCCTGAATAATTAGAGGTCTCATAGCAGTGTTGAAGATGGGGGTGGAGAAAAGAGGCTAGCTAAGCTGCATTTAAACGGGCAAAGGGAAAAGCGGCTGTGTGTTTTCCATATTGTGTTCATTAAAGAGATAACTAAGAAAGGATCAGATGAGAAAAACAAGTAATCAGTGATGCAAACAGATAAATAAAACTTCTCGAAATGACAGGAGCAGCTTTCTGTTTACCATCTTAGCAACAGTGCTTCTAAAACACAAAAATGACAATTTATCTAAGATTAAACTGGAATTCCAAACTTATGATCTGGACTAGATTTCTTAATAATCTTTTTAATACATAATAAAACAAAGTTAGAAACCACCACTTATATTTAACTTGTCTTAAATAGCCCACTGAGATCAGAAGGATGGATATGAAATAATCTTAAAAGCAAGTTTGCTTAAGCATTCTCCAGAATTCATTCAGATCAGAACATTTCTGGGTGTGCGAGAAGCAGTTTTAGCTGCCAAACATTTTCAATTAGATTTAGTTTTATTTTCTAGAACATACCCAGGCTTTGATGTAAACCATTGCAATTAAGCCGTTTGTATATTTAGCCCTATTTGAAAATGTTGTGGTTTATTTGGTACCTTCCCTTCGAGCAGTACATCTCTCCAGCTCCTCCAAAGTGACCATAAGAGGTTAACATGCTATCCTGGCCTGTCATTTCAAATGCACCATGTCTCTGTAGGTTTTTGGATGAAGGATTAAACATGTATCTGGTATTTAAAAAAAAAAAAAAAAAAAAAACTTCATGTCTTTCTGTGTTGTTCACTAAAGCTCTGTAACAAAACTCTGAGGACTTCCCAGAACATCTAAAGTTATGATAAGAAATCAATTAGGCATAGTAGCACTTGTCTTTGTTTAGCAGCTGATGAAGTAAAGTTTGTCTACTGTAATAAATCATACCAAAATACTAATACTTAACTCTGAGTGAGGTTCAGATAGGCTAATAACATGGCTACAGATGTTTGTTATGAAATTAAGGGTTAGCTTATTGCAGAAACATTTCAAAGCTATTTGTTGTTGATATTTTTATTAAATCAATTCTGAATTTTAATTTTTCCCATCACATGAGTCATTCCTGCAAGAACATTTTTTTTTCAGTGTTTGTGTGTAATAACTGGGATTGTGCTCTTTGGAAACTAGAGTGTAGCTTTGAAAACGGAGCTCATTTTGCACAGCTGAACACAGGCTGTGGAAATTTAATTAGCCTTAGCTCAAAATGATCAGTGAGTGAATTAAGCCGGGCAGGCTCTTTTCATCTGAAGCACCAGCATAATTAAGCTGATATAAAATATCATTAGAGGTGACAGGCTGTTAAAAGACACAATAATTGACTGAACTCGCATTGAGGAGCCGCCTCCTCAAAAGAATCTACCTGAGGTTGTTTGGGGAAGTGCTGCCATCTAGCGTGACAGTTTAGTATTACGCCTACCCTTTCCAGCTTTTTTAAAAGACTCAAATTAGAATGAATTATACCGGTATATATGTTTCTCTTTTTTTCAGG